ACCATTTTTTAATCTAAACCTAGGTCTTCACTAGATTTATTGTAAAAGAAAAAATCACAAATCATGGTTTGTAATTTGCTCTGTTTTTTACAAATGAAATTTATGTGCTGCCTTTGTTTCCACTTCTGGGGGAAAAGAAAATGTTATTGGGGGTTTTTAGAACTGTAGTCCCAACATTCCTGGACAATGCAGTTTCCAAGTCCGTGTAAGAGTTTGAATCATAACAAACCAATTTGCCATGTTATTATCTTGGATTCTGATTAATAATGTATGGAAAAATCTCCCATCTTTTTTCTACTCTTCTAATCCAATTTCATGGAAGAACTTTTGGTCTTCAAATGTCTTTCAAAGAAGAATTTTAGTGAAAAGATTATAGGTGGAATAATATATTCTCCTACCTTGGGTAAAAAGTACCCAAGGTTTATGTGTATGTAATTATTGTGACTTTCATTGTACAATCACTTGTCCAGCAATTTGCAGCCTCCCATTCTTTTAGTAAATCTTAGTGGAAGACATAAAAAAGAAACTTCCTACTGGGAAGTGTGGATAACCAAGTAATTTTTAGAAGGCTTGTCAGCTACAATAATAAAGTGAGCTCAAAAATATCACCAATGAGAAATTGAAAGGATGTCTCAAGCAACTTAAGGATAAGATAGAATCCCCTACTTCAGCCTTATTTCAGATATTTATTCGTTCATTTTTTCCTTCATTCAGTTTATATCTTCTTTTGCTGCAAAAGCTCATATGGTTTTCACTGTTTATGTGTTTGAAGATATGTATGTGTTCTCTTTAATGTAAATTTTCCCTATGCATCAAACATATAAATTCATTTTTAAAAATATTTTTCCATTTCATCCTGCATTAAAAACTTTCACACTTCATAGAAGTGCTGAAATGGTTTTAATATTTATGTCTGAAACATTCTCATAAGCATACAGATTCACTACAGGGGAGAATTAAATCATAGATACAAGGAATATGAAAGAGGAAACGTAACTGGGCAAATTCCCCCCAAAACTGCAGAATCGGTGACATGGAAATTTTGCTCGCATATTCCCTTTACATGAGATGCAGTAGCAATTTTAGGAAAGCTGCTTAAAGTTTTGGATGTGAGGGAATCTCTCTTTAAGTTATCGAATTGTGGTAGAGAAACTCCAGTATTGGTCTACAGCAGTGTTTCTCAACGTTAGCAACTTGAAGATGTCTGGACTTCAACTCCCAGAATTCCCCAGCCAGCGAATGCTGGCTGGGGAATTCTGGGAGTTGAAGTCCGGACATCTTCAAGTTGCCAAGGTTGAGAAACACTGGTCTACAGAGAGATGGTTTAATTATAAAAATAAAATTAATTCTTGATTACACTGACATTTTGAAAGACTTCAGGAGTCACAGTAAATTAGTGAAGTGTAGATTTTTACTTCATATTTTAGCACATTTCTAACTTGATAGCAGAATTTTACTGCCATCCGTTTTCATTTGTGGGTGTAGTATTAACCAAAATGAGCCTTTTGTTCATTTTTTAAAATACAGCCTGCCAAAGGATATAGTTATCTACTACAGAAGGAGAATTTATGACAGAACCCTGGTATCTATTACAGATTATGGCATAGGGAGTGTAACTCTTCATAGCATTCCAAAGTTACCAATTTATCTTTTTATCTAGTTTTCCTTCTTTTGATCTTTTCCTTTGAAGTGGTTTCTGGATGGTAAAACACTTGAATAATGTTGGCACATCATTCATTTAAATGTAGAAGTTAATTTGTAGTTTCTACCTATCCATCCCAGAATCCAAAGGGAGATTTTGTGATTCTACATTGAGATGTGAAGAATTTTGTTGAATCATCCAGTATTTGAATGCTAGTAATCCTAGACTTCTAGTTCCAGACTGTCTGGAGGATTAACAATTTGTTATAAATGTAATAAGTGCTGCAGTTCCAAAATATCATTGCTATATCATTTTAATCTGGTGGTTGGCTGCAAAACAGGGCTAATGCTAAACCGACATCACTATCTTAGATGAGTTAACAGTCCTCCAATAAGAACCTTGCATTAAATTACTCTTAAAGGCATTTTGCTTTTAATGTACTTGGCATTAGTCATGAAAGAAGTCAAGCAGGTACATGTATAGTTACATTTATAAAATTCTCTCTTTGCATAAGCTGCACATTTAGTGATACAATACACACATTCATACATGCACAGGGATAACATTCCGAATGTAAAACCTGCTGCTTTGTAATAACATGCATATCAATAATCATAAACTGCTATTCCTTAATGTAGGGTTTCCCAAAATAGGACCTGAGCCCCTACAGAAATCAGCATAGGCCTTTGTAGGCTCCCCGCACAGCTAACTTTTAATTATTATGGTTTTAATTAATAAATAAATGGAAAGCTGGCATGCTATAAAGCAAAGTGACAAACGTCCAGCATCCTATTTATTTCCAAGAATGCTTCCAGGCTCCAAATGAACTCTATGAATGTTTGCAACCTATTACAATATGGCCACTTGCCTAGAAGTAAGGAAGGAATAAACAGAAGTAGTAGGAAGAGTTCAGAGTTAGGTATGCAGAAGGATTATAAATAAGCAGTCTACAAAATCAGCCTTTGGTGATTGATTTTCCCCTCAATGGTATTGTTTGAAAGAGCAAACCTTCTATGCATCCATTTTACATGAGTCCCTAGAATACTTTGTCAAAATTTCCAATATACCTACCAAGCCAAGAAGATTAGGGTCACTTGGCATAATATGTATGATTAAAGTCTAATACAAACTTTTCTTCCCATTTAAATACCTTTTGTGGCCACGGACCATGGCCACAGATCCCCAAGACTTAAATAATAACATTTCTTCAAACCTTCATGAATCCCCTGTGATGACATCATGGAGCCTCAGGTTGAGAACCATGGGTCTAATAGAGGCAAAGAATGTATATCAGTGTATCCTAGCGAATTATTTTTTGATATAGACCCATTCTTTGCTTAGTACCTTGTTAACAGTTTATTAACAAACCTACAGTATAGTATGGTACAATATTTCATCATCATACAGCTAATAAAATTGTGCCATTTTTGTGCACTTTATGAAATAATGCATTTAAGAGTGAGTTTAATTTTCACATTCAAGCTTCATTATTTCCTCTGAAAATCAAATTAACAGGAGATTAAGCTACACATTCTAAGCATGGGTATATAATTGTCCATGGCATCTATATAGATACTTTACCAGCTTTAGAGGTACTTGGTTCCACTGTTGAATTACTCTAATATTTGGGGGTTTTCTTCTAATTTTCAATTGCAATCTGCCTTCTTCTAACATAAATCCATCAATCTCCGTTACACTTTCTGGCTAGAGAACAGATTATAAAATTGTACAATGAGAAGAGCTAGAAGAGAAGGCAGATAACAGTTGCTAAATTTGTGTTTTATGGCTGATTTTGTCCTCTTTAGTAGCCATTCTGTGATTGGCCCAATTCTTCACTATCAGCCATTTTGTAATAATATCACGTATACTCCAAATTCCAACAGTATCCAGCATCCACAAAATGTTGGGGATCATTATCTATTAATACAGTAGAAGATTAAAGATATGGAAGCGAAATACAGATTTAGCTTATTATGGTTTCTTGTATTTCTTTTTATACCTTTGGCTCCCTGTACAGCTTGTGTACAAATATGTGGCAAGAAGGGGGAAGGGAAGAGAAGGTAATCATTTTCTGGATCAGTAGGTGAAGCATATCAGAGATTGTCATCATGTTTTTTTTTCATTCTGAAATCTTTTAATTGGATTTTCATTGGATTAGGTAGGTATACTGTTACACCCATCAATTCATGTCTCAGTCAGCACAAACTGCAGAGGTATCCGGTTACTTAAGATTGTGTTTTCCTTGGAATAAGTCCTCTTAGGGCTTTGCCATTTTGGCTCATTTTGAAAGTGCAAATTGATCAGAGATAGGAATTCAGAGCGTTAACACTCCCATAAATACTGCTCTTTTCCTTCATTTCTGCATTATCCTTTGAACCATAATGCTTGTAGATAGCATCCTCTCTAACCTTTTGTCTTGTGTTCATTGAACTAGAGTGACTATACGAATGGAAAACTTAAATGTGCAATAACATTAAAAGTTACAAGCAGTCTTAATCTGTTTTTACTTAATATAGTTGCTCAGTCTCATGAATTCTTTTTTAAAATGTTAAATAAAAGACTGGAGAAGCATAGAAAGAGTTACTCTATCCTGTCAAATGAGGAGAGAAATAATTCTATGGCCATGTTGAATAATGAAAAGGATTCAGTTGGGAGTCTATAGTGCAGTTCACATTAATACAATCAAGTAAAATCAAAATTAGCCAAATGGGTAATATTGTAAGCGTTTGAATCTAAAAAAAAATAATTATTTTGAAAGCCCCCTACCCATCCAATACTAGTGAAGTCACATTGCAAAATAATTTTCTCCAATTGCTGTCAAACATGAAAGAGTTGTAAAGAAAAGAAACATAAATGCTGTTGGTAGGGAGCATTATTCTGAATTCTACTTTCTAGGAGCCATAGAAACTATGACCTGTGTCCTTCTTTTCTATCTATTCTAAAGAACATCTCATCACCCCTTTCTTATCCAAATCTTCATGGCATGGTACTATGTTTTATTTACACTAAATACTAGATAACAAACGTAATTTTACTTTGGTAATAATGTACAGTTTGATTGTATTTAATTTCTGAGAAGGTTTATGAACAAACTGAGAATGGAAATTTTAAAAGTGTTTTCTTGAGGAATATAACAAAAAATCCAATTTGGCTTGTGCTTTAATCTGAAGGCTGATTTAACAGGGGTATTAAGAATGGGATTTAGAAAATCCTGAATTCAAATCCTAACTTAGTCCTGAATTCACTAGGTGATTTTGAAAAAGATGTTGTAGATCCTTATGATACTAATTCTCTACCATATAAAGAGGGAGTTAATGCGACGATTTCTTTCTTTCTTTCTTTAATCTGACATTTATAGAGATCCTGTATTCAGACCTCATGTAAAATTCCCCCTTACAGAAGAAGTCATGATACATTCATTGCAAAGGACTAAAGTAAGTATTTGAGTACGTTTAGTTGTGCAGATTTAAATCCCTTCCACTTGGTAGCATTTAATTTCTACTTTGGAGTAAGAATTAATCTAAATCCACTGCACAGTTAATACACACAAAAGCTATGATGATATCGACCTCCCAATGCTGAAAAAGTACTTCTGCTACCCACTTCTGCTATTAAAACTTTTATTTCCTGCTAAATATTTGAGAAGCAGGAGACAATTCTAGTTTTCTGGTTTTTAGTAGATTTTTGCAATGGCTACTTCAGGGAATCAGACATAGATTTATCATTACAGTTGTTCTAATTAACTTATTAAGCTAATTCATATCATTTTATTGTTTGTTATTTGTTGTTTAAGGGTTTGTTAAGGAGAGCATTAGAGAATATGGAAATGAATTTATAGGAATATATAAATATGTATTTTTGTTCCCAAAGTAACTTTTAAGTCTATTAAGAACATTCCCTTCCCCTTCCAGTAATTTATGATGAGAAGTGTATAAAGAAGAAATGCATAGGAAAGAGGTAGAAAGATTGTGAAGTTTTTTGTACAGTGGTCCTGAAGTAAAACAACTTTCTCGATGTTGGAAAGCAACCATCCCAATTGGAGGGAGGGGGTCAAGTGAGAAATCAGCATGGACTAGATTGGTAAAAAAATAAATGCTTAATACTAGTGTAGTCTAGTAGCTAAGATGTTGGGGCAAGATTTGCATTCACACTCACATCTTCACTTAGCCATGAAAACTCACTGTTGATTTGGGTCTGTCACTGTATGTGTGAGGTCAAGTCTATTTCACTTCAAACCTATCTTGTGAGGCCAAGCCTACCTCAACAAGTTGCTGTTGGGAAAATAAAGTGGAAGGAGATTGCCATGTAAGCAGCCTTGAGCTCTTGGATACAAATCAATAAATAGAAATACTGCCAATGTAGAATATATGTTTAATAATAAACATATAATACTTATAATAACAAGTATTTTGTAATTAAAAGCAAAATGAATGAAATACTTCAAGAATGCAGCAGTCTAAAGCTGGTTGAACCCTTGTTGTCCATCCCCAAATGAATGAAAAATAATCTTGGGACTAATGTAGACAGAACTGACCTTTTCTGGAAGTTTATTAGAACAGCTTTGGCAGAAGTATCGGTATTATTGTACAGGATACTTAATAAAAATTAATGAGAAAGAAATGAATTGGTTATATAAAGTAATAAAAAACAGCCAGATATAAGTAGCTTTTTGAGTACTTTTCAAGTGGAGAGTAAAATAAATGTAAAAATGACTAACAAGTACAATATTTGAGATTAAAAGCAAAAAAGAGTCTCTAAATATTAATAAACTTTTTGCAGAATAGGTTTTCCAGTTGGGTACAATAGTACCTTAAGCATCTTAAACTCAAATAGTTAAAGTAAATATTTGTCCTTGCCTTGTTTGCCTTGTATTCATTTTTTTCCCTTTTCTCTATTATCTCCACTGTCAGATTTAATACTGTAATCGTCTTTTCCAGCTTGATGCCCTCCAGATGTTTTAGGATTGCAAATCTCAGGAATCAGCTAGAAATAAGTTAATCACACTAAGATTTCAGCACCCATTTCTTTTTAACAGTATGTACCAGTCATAAATTCTATCATATGTGTGCCCATTGTCTTAAAAATATGGTTTCTGTTAACAAAAAACATGCTGTTCACCAGGGTGTGAAAATAAGTATTGGATAGAATAGAGTAGAACAGAACAGAATAGTATATTTTATTTGGCCAAGTGTGATTAGACACAAGGAATTTATGTCTTGTGCATAAACTCTCAGTGTACATACAAAACAACAGAGTAATAATACATAATAATGATACCAATAAGAGAAGGTAGTAGAAAAGATGAGAAGGATAATAGTAGTATAGTTATACTACATGGATAAATATTCGTAGACTTAAGACAATGCTGTAGGAATTAGGATAGAGAAAGTATACAATATTAATGGAATTCTATTGGGGCAGCAGATTGAAGAATGTCAAATAACTGATTTGTTTATTTATTTTATTTAAAATGTTTATATATATGCCCATCTTGTACCAAAGTCAGGGCAACTCACAAGCAAGAGTTACTTAGTTACTTAAGTTATTTACACTAGACTAAAGCTATATTTAATTATGTTGCCACAAAAATCCTGGGAAGGGTTTTTGATTGCTCTGAGTAACTACAATATATTATGTGTACAACAGATTGTCCAAATTACTAAGGCAAGTGGTGGAGCTAGGATTAATTATCTAATTATCATTATTGTGGATACAGTTTGGATAAAAATACATAGTAACATAATATTTATTTAGCATTAGTCTATTCATACTTATGATTTTAAATGCTGTTGTTTTCCTGACTTTTCCCCTTAGGAGGATTAACAAGATAAGGATTAAAATGAACATGAAGGAGTTTGTTTTGTAATCAAAAACTTAGAACGGGCTAAGTAGGCCCCATGCAAGAAGCTATGGTAGAAGTTGTCTGTCCTCTCTTTCAGGACCCACCATCTATTTGAAACTCTAGTTGTAAAAAGTTAGGGTGAGTTAGGGTTAGAATTCTTTACTATCTTTTCAAAGGCCCGAATTTCCAGTCTCCTGAACAATTCTTGATCTGCACCAAGAATTGAACTCAAGTTGAATTCAAGGTAAAGTCCAATTAGTACAGCATAAAATGACCTATTAGTCCCCAAGATTTAGAAACAGTATAGACAACCAATTTGGTTTAGTGGTTAAGGCATCAGGGTAGAAGGTGGCGCAGTGGTTAGGGTGCAGTACTGCAGGCCACTTCAGCTGACTGTTATCTGCAGTTTAGTGGTTCTAATCTCACCAGCTCAAGGTTGACTCAGCCTTCCATCCTTCCGAGGTGGGTGAAATGAAGACCCAGACTGTGGGGGCAATATGCTGACTCTGTAAACCGCTTAGAGAGGGCTGAAAGCCCTATGAAGCGGTATATAAGTCTAATTGCTATTGCTATTGCTATAGAAACCAAGAGGCCATGAGTTCTAGTCCTGCATTAGGTATGAAGCCAGTTTGATGACCTTGGACTAGTTATTCCCTCTCAGCTGTAGGTAGGAGGCAGTGGCAAACCATTTTGAAATTTTGCCAGAGAAACGTCAGGGACTTGTTCAGACAGCCACTGCAAGCCAAAACTGGGTGAAAAGCATGTGTGCACCCAGAAACTATAACTTAGATATGTATCAATATGCCACATTCAGCTCCAAGCTGGTAGTATTCAGACAGCAGAATATTAGCTGGCAAGGTAATCTCTTGGCAAGGTAATTTCTTGGCTACCTTTCCATTCACACAACTTATAAAATAAAAGAGCATATTAGGGATAAAACTGAGTTTGGCCTGTATTTGTGATAATGTCCTTACCATTAACAGACAATGTTGAATGTGGTAGAAATATTACTAAGATCAGTAGCCTCTCTATACCACCTCTAGTTTACTTAAAGGTGTGGTTAAGATGAACTAGAATGGGAGACTCAGATTCACATCAACCATATCCACTAAAGTTCATTGAATAACCTTTGACCAGTCAGCCTCTATCATCCCACGCTATCTCACAGGATTGCTTTTGTGGGGAAAATTAGGCCTTACATTATAGCTATCAGTGTATATCAAATAGATATACTGCACTATACTAATGCTATACGTGAAAGTATAGGAGGGGCATTTTGAGAGCCAAAAATGAAGGAGAACAGTGACAGATGAGCATCTGGTTAGGAAAATAAGGGGTTTAAGTACATTTATATATATGGGAAATGAATTATGAAAAAGTATGATTAATATGGCTGTTTATAATGGAAGATTAAGAGCAGTAGTGAAGGTTACAAAAGCAATGAGATATTCTGAATATGGGACAGACTATTATTTGGCAGTGTTAATATGACACTTGGATGAAAAATGGTAGTAGAAAATAGAAATCAAAGAGAATAAAAGTAGAATGACTGAAGGAAGAAAAAGAACTTGTCCTAAATGAAAACACAGGCGAAGATAGATTACTCCCCCAACAGAATGACTGAAAATTGGTAAAGGAAAGAAGATATAGAAGCTGCTTGGAACAGAGTGAAAAGAATTATATTCCACGGTGCCACAGAAGTGCAGAGAATGTGAAAAGAGGATGTTTGGTGGAATGAAGAAATGAAACAGGTGAAATGAAAAAAGATATAACGAGTGAAAGAGTGAAAAAAGGATAATTGCAGAGGACGTTGTCAAGCAGAGCAAGAAGCAATTTAAACAGGGAGAGAAATTACAGAGCAGTTTTGATGGAAATAAAAAATTGTTTTGGAAACGGATGAAAAGTGCTAAACAAGGTTCCTCCCAAGAGTGAATGGAGTTAAAAAAAAAAAAAAAGGCTGAAATAGTTTGGGATGAAATTTTAATGAGGGAGTGCTGGAAGGAGTATTTTATGATGATAATGGGAATATTAAGCTGAAGGGTGGTAGGGAAGCAAATGTTATAAATGAGTGTCTGGGAAAGAAAGTGATGACAAGTAAACCATAAATTCTGTAAGAATGTTCAAAATGGTGAAGCGGGCGGTGTAACTGGAGAAATGTTAAAATAGGAGCATGGGTTCCTCATGGACTCTGTGCAACCTCTTTCATGTATACGTGAAGAAAGCTGCTCTGCTGTTGATTGTAAGAAGGAAAATGGAAGAGTTCTCCAATACACAGGAAAACACTGAGGACCTGCTGAGGCTCTATAGCTGTGATGGCAAATCTATGGCATACGTGCCAAAGGTGGCACACAGAGGCCTCTCCGTGGGCATGCACGCTGTTGCCTCAGCTCAGCCAGCTGGTCGTCGGGTTTTTGATGCACACCTGCCAGTTGTTCGTTAGGATCTGGTGCTCATACACCTTCCTGTTTGGGCACTCTATGCCTAAAAGGTTCGCCAGTACTGCTCTATAAGAATCAAACTCTTGAAATGGTTCCACCACAAAACCGCAGATGACAAAATCGCGGTCGACGAAAGCGCGCATTTGACGTCAT